GGCCAATATATCAGGGACTAAGCTTCCCCTTCTTACCAAATCTCATAACACCCTTCATAGGTGAAACTTTCAAGTATACCCAATCATCTACTTCAAACTCTAACTCTCTTCTCCTAATATCAGTGTAGGATTTCTGACGACTCTGCGTCGTTTTCAACCTCTCTTGAATCACTTTCACCTTCTCCATAGCTTGATGAACTAAGTGTGGTCCTATTAACCCAGCTTCACCAACTTTAAACCATCCAATAGGAGATCTGCATCTTCTCCCATAGAGAGCTTCATAAGGAGTCATTTGGATGCTAGAGTGGTAACTAATGTTGTAAAAAAATTCAATAAGAGGTAGGTGATCATCCCAATTACCTTTGAAATCAATCACACAAGCCCTTAACATATCCTCTAAGGTCTGAATAGTATGCTCTACTTGCCCATCTGTCTGAGAATGAAAGGCAGTACTTACGTTTACTTTTAAACCCAAGCCTTTCTGAAAAGATTTCCAGAACTGCCTAGTAAATTGTGCTCCTCTCTGAAATAATCGATATCGGAACCCCATAAAGTCTAACTACTTCTTGAACATACAACTTAACATAATCTTTTGTTGAATGGGCAGTCTTCACTAGCAAAAACTGGGCTGATTTTGCCATTCTATCAGCAATCACCCATATCGAATCATGCCTGCGAGACCTTGGTAAACCTATGATGAAATCCATATTAATCATCTCCCAGTTCCATTCTGGAAGTTCAATATTTTGAGCCAAACCATTGGGCCTTTGATGCTCTACTTTAACTTGTTGGCAATTCGGACACTTAGCAACAAACTCTGCAATGTCCTTCTTAATACTACTCTACCAATAAACTTCTCTCAACTCGCGATACATCTTTGTGGAACCCGGATGGATAGAATATCTGGAGCTAAGACTTCCTCCATGATCCTCTCTTGGAGTTCATCCACCCTCGGTACACACAATCTGCCTTGATACTTCAACACACCATCCCCCCTTGTTCAAAAGCCATTACTTTTTACTTATAAACATTTGCCTTCAATTCAAGCAAAATAGGATCTTGGTCTTGCTTCTATTTTACTTCTGACACTAATGATGATTCAGTCTCATTCATCACCACTACTCTTTCTTCTGTGGAATCCATTAGGCGAACTCACAAGTGTGCAAGTCTATGCACATCCTTTGCTAGTTCTTTCTTATCATCCTTAAAATGGAAGGTACTACCCATAGACAACCTACTCAAGGCATCAGCTACAACATTAGCCTTACCTGGGTGATAAAGAATACACATGTCATAATCCTTGAGTAATTCTAACCACCTCATTCGTCTGAGATTAAGTTCTTTCTGAGTAAACACATACTGAAGACTTTTGTGATCGGTGAATACATCCACATGAACACCATAAATATAATGGTGCCATATTTTCAAAGAAAATACTACGGCAGCCAACTCTAGAACATGGGTTAGTTAGTTCTTCTCATGAACTTTCAACTGTCTGGTGGCATAAGTTATAACCTTGTCATTCTGCATCAACAAACAACCCAAACCAACTCTAGATGCATCACAATAAACAACAAAGCCTTGCGTGCCTTTTGGTAAGGTCAATATTGAGGCAGTAGTCAATCTATTTTTCAATTCCTGAAAGCTTTTCTCACAAGCTTCAGACCATTGAAATTTCACTATTTTCTGAGTCAACTTGGTCAAAGGAGATAAAATGGACGAGAACCCCTCTAAGAACCTTCTATAATAGCCAGCCAACCCCAAGAAACTCCTAATATCAGTTGGAGATGTGGGTCTAGGCCAATTCTGCAGTGCCTCTATTTTTTGAGTATCAACTTTAATTCCCTCTCTAGACATAATGTGGCCTAAGAATGACATAGACTCAAGCCAAAATGCATACAATTCTCTATCCTTTAGAGTTTGGAAAACTATTTAGAGATGGCTAGCATGATCTTCCGCATTCCTCGAATAGATTAGTATGTCATCAATGAAGACGATAACAAACATATCTAAATAAGGCTTGGATACTTTATTCATAAGATCCATGAATGTTGCAGGCGCATTGGTCAAACCAAAAGACATAACTAGGAACTCATAATGACCATACCGGGTCATGAATGCAGTCTTTGGAATATCACATTTCCTTACTCTTAACTGATGGTAGCCCGATCTGAGATCTATCTTAGAGAAACAAGTAGCACCCTGAAGCTGATCAAAAAGATCATCAATTTGTAACATCTCACTAATTGAAAGAACTAGAACGAGTTAGAATTGGAAATAGTCATTTTAGGAAAGAATGAAAAATTTGGAAATTGGTTATGTTATGTTAAGTTTGGATTTTTGGTCAAATTCAAACGACCATAACTCCTAGATCAAGATGAGTTAGGTTTGTGCTTTTAGATACCATAGGAAATATCTTGGAATTATATTTCCAACGCCGCCGATTTTGCGCAATTATGAGTTCGTATGAGTGAGATATGCCCATTTGAAGTTGGGTTGTTCAAATAAGGAAAGTCTAAACCGGATTTTGGAAGGGTATTTTAGTCTTTTCCTTACCCAATTGTTTTATTTCGTTTTTAGGAGTTTAATTGGAGTCTAAACTGAACTTGTTCAGTTTACACTTTTGAAAACTAAGTTAGGGTTTTGAGAGAAGAAAAAAGAAGAGGAGAAAAGAGGAGAAGGAGCAAGAATCGTCAAGTTCTTCAAGAATCGCTTGTGGATTTCGTCAAGGGGTGATCCCTACGAGGCATGTGAGATCACATAGCGTTGGGTTAGTTCTCCAACACGCCATTCATGATTCAATTCAGCGAAGTTGTATAGTTTTGTAAGCAAATCCTATGAGTTCTTGATGTTAATTTTTTTGAAATCTTGTGGGTTCTTGTTGTTGAAGTTTCTTGAGATTTATTCGTGTAATTAGGTGTGATTTCGAGTTGGATCTTGCATATATTGATGATTTATTTGCTCCTAAGTGTTTGGGGAAAGAACCAAGTTGAATAGGGGGTTTAGTGAAAAACGAAGGAGAAAAGTCGGAGTGCACCTGGGTAGGGGTTGGGGCGCCGCCCCAGCCAGAGCGCCCAAAAAGGGTCTCTAAAATTTGGGCTCTGGGGGGCCGCGCCAGACAGAGCACCCCAACCCAGCCCTTGAAATTCAAGGGTTGGCACCCCGCACCTCTCAAAGCGCCAGGGACGCCAGTTCTTCCCATTCTTCTCCCATCTTTTCATACTAGTTCCTTAGTACCGTACCTATGCTTTCTAGCTGATTCCAACACTCTAAACTACATCTAAACATCATAAAATCATCATAAACACGAGATCATGAAGCTTGAATCCATAATTCATTTCAAGGAAAGTTAAGAGTCAAGTCAAGAGGCTAAGAGTTAAGTCAAGAGAAGTTCATAAAGTTTTCCAAAAGTCTTTCAAAAACGTTTTAACTTTGTTTTAAGACTTAAGTTTTGAGTTGAGTAAAGAGTAAAAGTAAAGTTCATTTCTTCAAAGATGATATGGGAAATAAGTACTCCCAAGAGTTAAAAATGTTTTCACATTTGAGCAAAAAGGGAACCACCAATTTCCAAAAGAGCTTTTAAGCTAAGTTTTGAGTAATTATCTCAAACCAAAGAAAGAGTTTTGTTTTTAAAACATATGAGCTAAGTATATTTTGGGAGTAGTATTGAGCACCGATATGGGGATGCGAGTTAATAATAACTCAAGTCTCCATAAACCATGTAGCCATCATGGGTAGAAAAGGATCATACTTTTTAGATGATTCTTTAAGTGTTTTTTAGCATAGACTAGTGGATCCACTTAGCTAAGGCGTTCTATATGACAGTAAAGTATAGGACAGTTCTGGCAATGTAGACAAGACGTTGTATCACCACTTAGGCTCATAATGGTAGTTGTCGATTAGAGAATATCCCACAGTATTATATTACTATATGTGTAAACTGATTTGTTGTTGCATTTCTTTAACAAATTGAGTTGTTACTACTGTTTTAAATGTTTTGTATAACTACACCATTATTGTTGTTTTACTTTGCATTTGTGTTGAGTTTTTCATGAGTTGAGTAAAGCCAAAGTAAGTGTTCCTTTTAGATTCTTTTCAAGCTTACGTATGTTTTGGTATTCCCCTCGCATACTCGTACATTCAATGTACTGATGCCATTTAGCCTACATCATTTTATGATGCAAACACAGGTAATAAGGATCAGCATCCAGGGGCCCGTTAATCCAGTTGAGCACTCAGAGTCAGTTGGTGAGCCTCCTTGCAAATTGGAGGACTCATTTTACTTTGTTTTAAGTATTTTAGTTGTTAGGGTGATCGGGGGTCTTGTCCTAACACCCCTCTTTGTTTTAAAGGCTTCATAGATAAGTAGCTATAGTTCTTTAGTCCTTCTGTTTTCAGCTTTATACATTTAAGACTTGAGTTTACATTTTGGGTAAGTTTAATATTTCTTTAAGACATTACATGAGTTATCCTTTTGAGACTATTTCTTGTGTATAAGTCTTCCGTTGAGTAAATAAACCAAGCCAAGGGTTTCTTGGGGCCAGTAATGGTTCTCGAGTGCCAGTCCTGCCCAGGGTGTAGGCTTGGGGCGTGAAAAACTTGGTATCAGAGCACAAAATTCAAGTGTCCAAGGGAGTTCTTGAGGATGAATCCTCCAAGTTTCATTGGTTCAAGCACTACTGAGGATCCAGAGAGTTTTGTTGAGAAACTAGAGAAGGTATTTGAGGTTATGCACATTGTCGATGCTAAGCGAGTAGAACTTGCTGCATATCAACTGAAAAATGTTGCTAGGACTTGGTTTGACCAGTGAAAGAAGGGTAGAGCTGAGGGAGCACCACATGCGAGTTGGGCTTGTTTCTAGGAGACCTTCTTGGGGTGTTTCTTTCCCCGAGAACTGAGAGAGGCCAAGGTACGAGAGTTTATTACCCTTAAGCAAGATTCAGTAAGTGTTCATGAGTATGGGGTTGAAGTTCACCCAACTATCACGTTATGATCTGGAAATGGTTGCGGATATGAGGAGTAGAATGAGTTTGTTTGTTGTAGGGCTATCTCGTCTGTCGAGTATGGAAGGTAAGGCTGCAATGCTAACAGGTGACATGGATATAGCAACGTTGATGGTTTATGTGCAACAGGTTGAGGAAGAGAAGATGAGGGATAGGGAGGAGTTCAGAAATAAGAAGGCTAAGACGTCAGGAAATGAGTTTGGGCAGCGAAGAAATAATGTGAATCGGTCTTCTTTCCAACAAAAGCAAAAGGGGCATACTCCATCATCTGCTAGTGTACCTGCACCCAGAAACAAAGGAGAGTACAATAATCATAATTTACAGCACTTTAGGGCTTGACCTGCCTAATCTCAGGGTAGTGTGGCACAAGGGGGTAACTGGGCTCAGTCATGTGCTAAGTGTGGTAAAACCTACCCGGGTAAGTGTCGCGATGGATCCACATGTTGTTTAAAGGGTAAACAAGAGGGTCACTTCATGAAAGAGTGCCCTAAGAACTAGCAAGGTAATGGAAATCAGAGCAATATAGCCCAATCTGCATCAATTGCTCCACCAGACAGTGATGCACCTAGAGGAGCTACTTCCAGCACTGGCGGAGGATCAAATCGCCTTTATGCGATCACTAGTCGTCAAGGGAAAAAGAATTCCCCAGATGTTGTCACTGGTATGATCAAAGTCTTTACTCTTGATGTTTATGCTTTGCTAGACCCAGGAGCAAGTTTATCTTTTGTGACTCCTTATGTTGCAAATAATTTTGATGTTCTTCCTGAGAAACTTTGTGAACACTTTTGCGTTTCTACACTTGTTGGGAGTCTATTCTAGCTGAGCGAGTATATCGTGATTGTGTTATTTCCATCAGTAACAAGAACACCATGGCTGATTTAGTTGAGTTAAACATGGTAGATTTTGATGTCATTCTTCGTATGGACTAGCTTTATGCCTGTTATGCCTCCATAGATTGTAGAACTCGAGTTGTTAGGTTTCAAATTCCTAATGAGCCAGTTATAGAGTGGAGTAGCAATTCCCATATAATCTTTGAAGAAATGAACTCTTACTCTTATTCTTTAGTTAACTCAAAGCTTAAGTCTTGAAACGAAGTTAAAACGTTTGTAAAAGACTTTTGAAAAACTCTTATGAACTTCTCTTAACTTGATTCTTAACTTCTTAGCTTGACTCTTAACTTTCCTTGAATTGATTTATGGGTTCAAGGTTCATGATCTCATGTTTATGGATGATTTCATAATGTTTAGACGTACCTTAGATTGTTGGAATCAACTAGGAAACATAGGTACGTTGCTAAGGAACTAGTACGAAAAGAAGCGAGAAGAATGGGAAGAACTGGCGTCCCTGGGGACCCGCGAGCGTGGGGCGCCAGCCTTAAAACTTCATAGGTTGGGGTGGGGCACATTGGCTGGCGCAGAGCCTTAGAGCCCATACTTCAGAGCCCCACTTAGGGCGCAATGGCTGGGGCGACGCCCCAGGCCCTTGCCTAGGTGAACTCTGATTTTTCTCCTTCGTTTTTTAACTCTAAACCCCCTATTCCAACTTAGTTCTTTCCCCAAAAACTTAGAATCGACTATACCCTCAATATATACAATATTCAACTTGAAATCACACCTAAATACATGAATCAACCTCAGGAAACTTCAACAACAAGAACCCACAAGATTTCAAACGAATTAACATCAAGAACTCATAGGATTTGCTTTCAAAACATTACAACTTCGCTTGAATTGAATCATGATTGGCGTGTGGGTAAACTAAAACAACGCTATGTGATCTCACATACCTCGTAGGGATCAACCCTTGGCGAAATCCACACGCAATTCTCAAAGAAATCGACGAATCCTTGCTTTTTCTCCTATTTTCTCCTCTTCTTTTCTCTTCTCTCAAAACCCTAGCTCTTTTCCAAAAGCGTAAACTGACCAAGTTCAGTTTAGACCCCAACTAATTACCAAAAATGAAATGAAAATAATAGGGTATGGAAAAGACCATAATGCCATTCAAAAATCCGGATTAGACTTTCCTTATTTGAACAACCCAAGTTCAAATGGGCATATCTCACTCATACGAACTCGAAATCGGGTAAACTCGCCGGCGTTGGAAATATAATACCAAGATATTTCCTACAATATATGAAAGCACACCTAAATCATCCCGACCTAGGATTTATGGTCATTTGAATTTGACCCAAAACTCAATAACATAACTTAACAAATTTTGAGATTTTTTATTCTTCCCTAAAATGACTATTTCCAATTCTGACTCTTTCTAGCTCCTTCAAATGGAGAGGTGTTAGAAGGATCTTAATGCATAACATATAGAAATTCAATAATTAGGGATATAATTTCAAAAAGATTTAAGAACTCAAGAATTCAAAATCAACTCATCTCAAGAATACTCAAATCTAGGGGTAGAATCCTAGATTTCTCTTTTACTGATTTGAAAGTAGATGTAGGGCGTGAGGATGAACTGGTCCAACACTATAATAGCCTTACATACCTGGAAGAACAAGGTTCTTGAAGAATCTTGAAGAAGAATTTGATTAGAAGTCTTGAAACACTAGCTTGAAGGAGAAAAATAAAAATGCCTTTCTTGAGATTTCTTGAATTAGTTTCTTGAAACTCTAAGGCCAAGAATTATGATTTTCATTAGTGATTCATAATTGTATGGAGGAATTTGAGTTGGAAATAATGAAATTCTTGGAGAAAGACTTACCTTGAAGAAGAATCTTGAAAAAGATAGAAAGAATCTTGAATGAAGTCTTCTACTTTGATTTTTTATTAGGGTTTTGTCATAGGGTTTGAGAGAGAAGAGAATGATGTATTAAGAGATGAAAATCTTATTGGTTTGAGCCTTATATTAGTCAAGAAATTTATTTAGGGTTTTCTTAGAGGTAAAAAGACGAAAACAACCTTTTTTAATATTTTCCCGTCGGTTAATTCGTCACTACACTGTACCAGGTTATTAAAATGGTCATAACTTTTTACTCAAAAAATGGATTGATGCGAAATTTGTGGCGTTGAAAAGATAATTCAAATACCTTTAATTTGATAGGTTACAGGTCACGTAACTCTTTATATTTTAAGAGATATGGTGGTTTGAAGTTGACCCAAGTAGAATCTTACATTATAAATTTATCGGTAAGAAAAATTTCAACTCAACTTTTTGTTAGGAGATTCTAGTGACCTTAATTCATATCCAAATCATTCTCATACTAAATAATTTACCCTTACACATATGGGTAATTTATGAATCACCTGATATGATCCTACAAGTAAATGAAGAATGATTCGAGTCTTAACTTAAAAATTTTCGGGGTGTTACATTAATTTTCTTTCAATAGGGATATGCTGATATTTGGATATATTCATTATGGTTGAGAAAAATGATTTATTTAGTCTCGATAAATTCGTGAATAATAATTTTTGTTTCCTAGTGATTCGAAGAGTGATTGTAGAGCAATTCATTTTGGTAGCAAAATCAAGGACTTTCACTGCAAATATAAGGTACATAATCTATCGATATTACTTCGATTTCTAACAAAGGTATCAGAGCCATGATTAGTTATTCCCCGTTTGCATAATGCTTTCTTGAAATTTTGCTCTAGTGGATTGATTTATTTTCGTTCTAAGAAAACTGTGTGAAAATTCTTGGTATTTAGTGTTCTAAATTTCTTTAAGGATACATCTAAAATAGATGACAGCATTGTTGCACACCTGGAAGAAAAATAAGATGACCTAATATAGATTAAGAAGTTTGAATCTGCTTATAGATTTGAAATTTTTTTGACCGATATAGATTTGTAAAAATAAAATTGTTACTCCATAAACTTCCATTTGGAGTAGTGAAAAAGAGGAGATATTTTCATATCTATGTATTTTTTTCTTCCTTTCAGTTCTTTCATAGAAGTTTTTTTTTCTAATCATGTTTTGGTCCTTTTTTTTGTGATCATGGAAGTAATATAAGGGAGAAGATGAGTAAATTCTAAGAGTTATATTGTATAATGAAAAGGAAAAAACTTTTTAAGTTTTATGGGAACTTGAAATGGTCTAGTACTGTTAGTTTTTTTAATGAAAAAATTAAAAGAAAAAGACAGAATCGTGTGGTAGACTATGTGAACATCTTTATGCTTCTTTCTATTTGCTATTTAAAAAAATAAAAACATGAATGTTCTCACTATTCTTTTAATGAAGTACTACTATTTTATGTTAATAAAGTATTTGCACATTTCCTTGGGGATCATGAAGTGCTACTGTTTTTTATGGAAAATTGACAGTGAATGAGTATTACTATATTATTTTAATAAAGTACTTATTTTAATTATTGTTACATGGGTTATACAAGTGGTCAAATCTGATTGTGGTTGACTTTAACATTTAATTTTCTTTTAATAGTATATTTGGATATATTTATTATGGTTTAAAAAATGGTTTATTTAGTCTCGATAAGTTCGTGAATTGTAATATTTATTTTTCAGTGTTTCGAAGAGTGAATAATATTTGGTACCAAAATTAAGGACTTCCGCTACAAATATAAGGTACATAATCCATCGATATTGCTCTGATTTCTAAAATGGGTATCAGAGTCATGGATGTTTGCTTTTCATTTGAATATTGTTTTTGTAGTTTGTCAGTAAAAGATAGTTGTTAACAATTGCCAAATTATGTGCAAAAGATTCTTAAAATAAATGATAGAGTATGTGTCACTCACTTGTTTGAAAGCATAGGAGAACAAATATAGATTGAATATTTGAACTCAATATTGTGCTTTTTTATTTTGAATCGAAAACGCTATTTGAGCACTGCAAATTTGGGAATTTTTTTCTCCATGAACTTACAGAGAAGTAGTATCCATAAATATTGTTGATCTGATGTCTTATATCGTTCCTCTTTATTGAGATTATGGATAGAAAGTTTTCTTAAGGAAGATGAGAAAAGTTGTTTTAAGGAAGATAAGTAGATGAAGGAGAAGACTTTTCTTCTTATTCAAGTCTGTTTTACAATGGTGAATGATATTTCAATTTATAGGTTGAGATATCACTCCAAAGGTCACCAAGTTCAATGCCCAAACTAGTAGATACATTGATATCCATATTGTTATCCAAAAAGGGGTTCATATCACCTAGAGAATATACATACATGAATTTGGTAGTTCATAAATAAACCAAATGGACAATCCACTATTCAATGGATTTATAACAATATAGAAAATATAATAAATTTTGTGTTTTAAGAAGAAGAAGAACAGTAGAATACTTTTTAAAAAATGTAGTTTAAAATGTGAGGAAACCCCTTTTCAAAGCCAAGAGCGGGTAGTGTATGAAAAATAATTATTGTGTCTTATCCAAAAAAGTCATAACCCTTTAGAAAAGTCAAAACCTTCAAAAAAGTTACAACTCATTAGAAAATTCATAACTCTTTGGAAGAATCGCAACCCTTTGGAAAAGTCACAACCCTTAGGAAAAGTCACAACCCTTCAAAAATGTCACAACTAATTGAAAAAATTATAACTATTTGGAAATGTCAAATCCTTCAATATGAAAAGGTGTGTGTTTTTAATATAATATTTTAACTTTGCGGTCTTAAACATGCCCCTCCCCAAAAAAACATTCTATATTAAACTGAATTAAAATAAAAGTACAACAAATAAATTAGAAACAAAGAAGTACTTATTAAATCTAATTTGGACTCTTGAAACTAGTTTTTGATCAAATCCTTTTTTCCCAACAATTTGAGGCTTTTCACAATTTGAACACCAAGTTGTAGTGCGCAACATAAAATCATTGAGCTTCTTGTCAACTAAAAGTTGCTGCAAAAGTATATTTATAGCAATGAAAATAAGTACATATTAATTATCTAGATAATCTTCTCATTTGAAATCAAGTTATTCCATTCTCCTTGTTGATTCAATTTTTGATGATCTGTCTAATTTACCCACAAAAAGTATTGTACTTGCATTATTGAACAATTCTCACAATCTTCCTTGTTTTAAGAAGAAGAAAAATAGAAAACTTACAAAACTCGTAGATTAAAAATGTTAAAAAACCCCTCTATTTATAAACAATAAATGATAGTGTGTCACAATCCTTCAGAAAAATCACAACCATTCAGTAATGTCATACCTCATTGAAAAAGTCACAACTATATAAAAAATTCACAACCCTTTGGAGAAGTCACTATCCATCAATGTGAATAAGTGTCATCTTTTAATATAATATAGAACAAATAAATAAATATAATATAATATAAACTATAGAATATATACTAAATTGGGCGTTTTAAGTTGGGGTATTATAGTAATTTAACATTCAAGTTAGAGAGTTCATGTTTTTAAGGTAGTATAGATAGAAAAGTTCCTATGAATAGTGAATGTAAGCTTTCTTATGATTACTACTGAAATTGTCAAATCAATATTCGAAAACACCTATAACTATTTATAATATAAAGTTAGATATAGATAAGGTGATGTAACACCTCTCTATGGCCTCCAATTAGATTTATCTCTTTCCTTCCTTTTTTTTTTTGATTTTTTTGTCATTTTAAAATTAATTGTGATATGTAATTTTCACTCTTAAAATCTCTTAGTTACACCTCTTAAATATAGTTTCTCCCCCCTCCTCTATAGTGAATTACTTAGTTATTAATGTATTATTGGAGTTCCTGCTTAAAATATAATATAAATAAATGCATATTGATATAAAATATAGAAGATTTACTATATTGGATGTTTTTAGTTTGAGTATTATATTAATTTAACAATTAAGTTATGAAGTGTTCAAAGTCCAATGAACTTTGAGATTCTCAACATCAATAAATCACACTTGAGTTTTTAAGAAGAGAAGAATAGAAATTTTTAAAAAGTCGTAGTTTTGGAAATGTGAGGAAAAACCCTCCATTTATAGTTATTGAAGGGTACTATTAACATGTGCTTATTGTGTTTTATCATAAAAGTTACAACGCTTTAGAAAAGTCACAACCCTTCGAAAAGGTCACAACTCATCGGAAAAGTCACAACTCTTTGGAGAAGTCGTAACCATTCAATGCCACAAGGCGTGTCCTTTAAATAATAATATAAAGTATAGAAAATATACTAAATTGGGGGTTTTAAGAAGAGGAACGATACAATACGTCAAAAAATTTAAGTTAAAAAATATGAGGAAACACCTCTTTTTATAGCTAATAATGGGTAGTATGAAAAAATATTTATTGTGTCTTATCAAAAAAGTCACAACCATTTGGAAAAGTCACAAGCCTTTAGAAAATTCACAACCCTTCGAAAAGGTCATAACTCATCAAAAAAATCATAAC